GAAGAACAAGGTACCCAGAATGAAGAGAACAATTTATGTAATGGGTACAGAAATTTAAAGAAAAAAACAATTGAAAGAATGTGAATTCTAATCAAAGGTAAGACAGAGCCTTGATTCCCACAGGCTAAAGATGAAATAGATGTTACTTTTCTTAACATACAGGTACTAGACTATAGGTGTGGGATGTGGCATTCATTGTCATATATGGCCAATGATTCGTTCTGCTTAACTGTGCTTCTTTGTTGCTGGGAATGTTGAGGGAAGTGGGAGAGGAAAGGCAGAGTTGGAAGGGTAATTCATTGAGAAATAGAGAAAATTTTTAAAGAATCAAAATATGTATTGAAAAATAAGATAAATAGAAATTAAAATGAGAAGAAAGTTGGGGACAGGTGATAAAAGTCACATTTCAAACAGCAAATAACTAGATTCCCCATTTTTCTCTGCTTTCTTTTTTTTAATCTCCAAATCTCAAGAAGGAAGGAAGAAAAGAAGGAAGGAAGGAAGGATGGAAGGAAGGAAGGAAGAAAAAGGAAGGAAGGAAAGAAGGGAAAACGCAGAAATTGCTTTTTTAAAAAAGAAGGAAAGAATTATTTTTGGCCTGTAGCCAATGCTGCCAGGCTTGTCTGTGCATCCATAGGTATTTATTCAATCTCAATAAAAGAAGTGAAGAACCACAACTTTCTATAATCTACACCCTGTATCCAAGATGCCGTGCCTACTCCATAGATGTTAAGCAATGCTTAATTATTGTTATTACAGAATTATAATCATATCATATAGCTCTAGCTAAGTGAGCTTGGGATGAGGAAGGGTGTAACAAAGTTACTAACCTCTCCTTGTTTCTATTACTTTTCATTTATTCTGTTTATAGTCAACTTCAACCCACATCAAATTTTAATTGGGTAAAGATCAATGACTTGGCTTAATGGATCTGGGATCAACATCATGGGTAAACAAAATATTAACCAACACAAAGTTAAGCCATTATAGCCAATACCATGGTATAGGACCTGGTCTCAATGTAATAGGTAAACTGCTCTTGAGATTTAAGTAATCTTTTTAGAGAAGTAAAAGCATCTCAAAGGACAAGATGACACCCACACTTCTAAGTCAGTAGCAATGGCAGTGGCACTGAGCAGCAGAGTTAAGTTAGGGCAGGGCTTCTACATAGGCAGACTAGGCAGTCACCTCCCTATGGATTTAGGAAAGCTTCATTCCCTGCTCCTCCAAACAACCTTCCTACCTGTCTAAGGCTAACACCTGAAAAATCCACCACTAGATATTTCTTTGTGATTGTCTTTAATAAGATAGTAAGTACCTCTATGAGAAGTTGTCAGTTATTTACACCTTAGGATAAATGAGTTCCAGGTATAAAGAATTCTGGGCTTGGAGTCAGGAAACCTGCCTTCAAATTCCATCCCTGATACCCATGTGGTCCTGAGATCATTTCATCGCTCTTAGCCTCAGTTTTCTCATCTGGAAAATGGACATAATGATACTTGTACTATTTACCTCAAAGGGTCAGTTCAAGGAAAGTACTTCATAAACCTTATATATTGCATAAACATAAATCATTATTATTATTATGGGCATAATAATATTTGTACCACTTATCTCAAAGGGTCAGTGTAAGGAAAATACTTTGTAAATCTTACAAATTTTATAAGCATAAGTTGTTATTATCAGATTCTTCCAAATAAGGTAATAAGCCTGGGGCTATTTTATGGGATGGGGTTGAGGAGGGGAGGAAAAATAACACCAGGTACCATGTTCACATAGACTAGAAGGAATAACATTAGGTGAAGGATAAAGGTCACCAACCTCAAAGAATCTTATCTCTGCTTCACCCCACATTTCCAATCAATGGACAGTCTTGTTGATTCCACCTCCTCAACCTCCTTCATTTCCATCCCCCTGACTCCATTTAATTAGCAACTATTCAAGTTCAGATACTTATTCATAGTGTATTGACTAGACTATTATAATAGTCTGCTAGTTGGTTCCCTGGATGTAGCCTTTCCTCCTTACCAATCCATTCTCTCCACAGGTGCCAAAATTATCTTTATAAAGAACAGGTCTGACCATGTCATTCCTCTGATCAAAAAACCTTCAGTGGCTCCCTATTGCCACCCAAATAAAATACAAATACGTCCAGCCAGGTATTTGAGGCTTTTCATAATCAGAATCCATTCTACCTTCCCAGACTTTTCTTATATTATTTCCTTTTGTGGATTCTACATTCCAGTCAAACTCCACCCAAATGGGGAGATAGATTCCCCATCTTTCATGTCACCGTATTCACACAATCTGTCCCCTACACCTAGAATGCTCTCTTTCAACTCCATCCTTCTAAATGTAATGTTTTAAATTAAACTTCATTTTATTTTCCATTCCAAATTCTCTCCCTCCTCTGTGTTCCTACCCTAATTAATAAGGAAAGAAAAACAAGACCATTACAAATACATAGTAATGCAAAACAGATTTCTATATTAGCCATGATCCAGGTGGGGAAAGCAAGAAAAAGAAAAACTTCAATCTGTACTCAAAGCACATTAGTTCTCTTTCTTGAAGTGAATTGTATGTTTTATCATGAGTGTTTTGGAATCATGGTGGGTCATTGTGTTGATAAGTTACTAAGTCTTTCAAAGTTCATTATCTTTGCAATATTGCTATTACTGTGTATATTGTTCTCCTGCTTCTGCTGGCTTGACTTTACATCAGCTCATACAAGTCTTCCCAGGTTTCTCTAAAATTATCCCCTTCATCATTTCTTATAGCAGAATAATATTACATCACATTCATATATCATAACTTGTTCAGTCATTCCCCAATTGATATTTCCCCTTGATTTCCAATTCTTCGCAGCCACAAAAATAGCTACAATAAATATTTTTGCACATAGAGTCATTTCCCTTTTTCTTTGATCTCCTTGTGGCATAGATCTAATAGTAGTATTGCTGGGTCAAAGGGTATGTACAGTTTTATAACCTTTTGGTCATAGTTCCAAATTGATCTCCAGAATGGTTGGATCACTTCACAACTCCACCAACAGTACATTAGTGTACCTATTTTAATACATCCCCTCCAACATTTGCCATTTTCCTTTTCTGTGAAATTAATAACATTTGTAAAGTGCTCAGCACAGTACCTGACACATAGTATAAATTTTTAATTTAATAAGTTTTTGTTCCCTCCCTCACCCTAGAACTAGAAAGACTTCTTCAAATCCTAGGCTGAGTCTCTACCCTTTCTGAAGAAGTACACTCTCCCAGCTGAGGGCTTCAGCTGAGCTTGAAATAGAAAATGGCAAAAAAAAAAATTAAGGAGAAAATCCAGATGAGCAAAGAAAAAGCCCAACCTGGCAGCAGAACAGTTCAGTTACAGAAATCCACCACAGTAATCCATTCACCTATGAGGAGTCAACCAAGCCCACAAATAGAGCACCCCAAGCCCAGAAACTGAGTAGCCTAAACTATCAGCAGAGTCACTCATCTAGCCCAGATACCACTCCCAGCTGTGAACTATGTGTGTGTATATGTCAGAGGGATAGACAAATAGACAGACACAGAGAGACAGAGAGAGGCAGAGACAATAAGACAAGCAGTGACAGATATAAACGATGACAGAGAGAAATATTGAAACATTAAAGCCCTACATTTCCAGAAAGAAAAGGGACATTGGGAACATTCCAGAGTTGAACACTGCCTTGGCCGCATGTCTTCCTTTACATATGTGCCTCATTATTATTGTGTTTTAAGTTTGCGCCCACTCTCCCCTGCTGATGCTGGTGTATTGATGGAAGAGCATGGTGTGGGTTTATGGGAGAAATGTTTTGTAAGCATTGTTCTTGCTATGCCATTTGAATAGGAGCGTGACATGGTTAAGAGCTAATAGAGTCTACTGACTGAACCTTAATGCTAATGGGTAGCACACTGACTGGGGGCATCAGAAAGTAGTGTTACAAGTGTAGAAAAGAGGTTTGGACCATTCAATGTGATGAGTGTGATAGAAAATCAACTAGGGAGAAGTAAAGGATTTCCTTGTAGCAGTGAGGGCCCAGTTGAAATTAATTAACAGATTTATGGTGGAGCAAGTCAGCTAAGTATTATGGCTTTCTCCAGCTCCATTGTGCAGCACATGAGTAGGAATGGAGGAGGTGGATGATGGAAGTAATATAAGATTGAGATCTGGCAAAGCAGCAGAGCAGAATAGGGCAGAATAGGACCAGGGAGCAAGAGATTCAAGAATAGAGAACAGTCTAGAATTGAACATGCTCACTAGTGGATTGAGATTGAGAAGGGAGAAAAGTGAAGTCATAGCAAGGATGAAGGCTTGGGAAAGTACAGAGAGTATTGCAGGTCACAGTAAGCGTGAAACAAAGCATAGAGAGCAAGGAAATAATAGGAGATTATGATCTACTAAAGGAATTTCAGAGTTAACGAACATGGAAGTTGAAGACTTGTGGGTGATGGCAAGATCAAAGACATGGCCATCCCCATGTGTAGCTGAGGTAGAGCTGAAGAAGGTGAATGATAAAGCTCAACATTTGCCATGTCAAAACACCAGAGAAATAGAAGAGGATGGGCATGGAGAAGAGATTATTTCAGTTGACTAGAAGGTGTCATTAATGGCCTTACAGCTGTTTCCAGGGAGTGATTGGGAAAAAAAGCTAAATGTGAGAAAGAAATGGATGATGAGAAATCCAGACCTGATTTATGTTCCATCTTCTGGTAAGGGGCAAGAAGGTATCAAGGATCTTGGACTCAAGGCTAGCATGGAATAGATTTTTGTAGGCTATCTTCTGGGGCAGCCACCCTAAATCATGGGTCTCTTTTGGGGATTACCCCTTAACCTTTGATCAGTGTTTGTTCATAGTATATAATGGCAGGCACTGAATTCATTTCATTCTCCTGACTAGGAAAGATTCTTTATGAGACATACATGAAGAGTGCATTGCAGGGAGTAAACATGAATGAGAAGGACATTTGTAATGCCAAAGAAATAAAGTTTATTGGAAGGTAAGTGAAGGTACCTCCTTGCATTCCAGAAGATGGTGAAGGAGCAAGGAAGGCGGAAACACCATCTGTACAGGAAACACCCCAAAGTAATAGCATGTGACTGAGTAATAGGGAGTTGGGCATCATCAGAAATTAAGAGGCTTCAATGCTTCCCATTAAGCATTTTTCCAACCAATTGGGAGTTGATGATGCCATTCTTGGCTTGTTGACTTTGGAACTCACTGCAGTACATGGGAGATCCTGAAAATGGTGGCATAATTGACAGAAATGGGGATGATGGGAAAAGAACCAAAATGTTGCTATTGTCTTTGAGAACTGAGCTAAGTCAGAAGTCAGGATCAAATAATCTTTCCCATCCTGAGTTTACATAGTGAAACTAAGAGATGGGAATTCAACAGATGCGGGAACAAGACCTGCCACAGGGTCCACAGGAGTTGCCACGTGCATTGGTGGTGGCACATGGATTGCAGGGCAGCCTAGGAAAACACAATTGTTTGCATTAGGTTGAGAATGGGAGTGTTCTATGCAAAGATCTCTCTAAGACCATAGCCCACAAATTCCATTCAAGTTTAAGTTCAGCCACCAGTGGGTTTTGAGTGGCTGAAGCAAACCAGAGAAAACTCAGATTATTACCAAATGCCCCTCCTACAAAGTTATATTACTTAAATGAGTAGAGAAAGAATTATGATACATGGTTATTCCTAGACAATGTTTAACTGGAAGATCTACGCAAATTTTTTTTAAATTTCTGTATATGTGTGTGTGGGAGAGACAGAAACAGAGACACAGAGATAGGCTTTTCCAGGAATCTCCGGCAGGACACTTACTTGGAATCCTCACACTCCAGTAGATTACGGTATGTGGCAATCTCGCGCTCTAGCCGAGATCTAACATCCAGGAGAACCTGGTACTCTTGGTTCTGTCTCTCCAGGTCACCACGGATCTCAGCCAGCTGGGACTCCACATTGGTGACCATATACTGTATCTGGGACAGCTGGGAGCTGTAACGGGCCTCGGACTCGTTGAGTGTATTTTCCAGAGAATCTCTCTGTGATGGAGAAGAGAAGAAAATGTCAGCAAAGGTACCCCTCTAAAGGACTTTTCCATATAGTTCCATGAAAACTCCAAGCTCAGAGTTTCATTGACTATATGGCTGATAAATGACTAAGTTTAACCTCAAAGGGTAAGTATCAAAGTTGCATGTTACCCACCAGGTTGTGCTGGGCCTGCAGCTCAACCTCCAGGGCATTGACAGTACGTCTCAGCTCAATGATGTCAGTCTGGTAGTTCTGCAGCTGTTCAGAGCTGGACACCACCTGCTTGTTCAGTTCCTCTGTCTGAAATGTCCCAAGAGGAGAGCCAAGAGGTGAGATCATGATCATCAGGACCCCATGAAGCTTCAAATTCTGCAGTGGGCGTGAGCTAGACCCTCACCTGAGTAGTAAACCATTCCTCCACATCTCTGCGGTTGTTCTCCACCACAGCCTCATACTCAGCCCGAGTCTCATTCAGTATCCTGTTCAGGTCCACAGTTGGGGCAGCATCCACCTCCACATTGAGTCTATCACCAAGCTGGCCACGCAGGGAGTTGACCTCCTAAACAAAATAAAACAAAAAAAAAAAAAAATGGAAGGCATGAGTACACTTCTTTTCCTGGTGGGGAGTGGGGAAAGGAGAGTCCTTCTGAAGCAATACACTAAACATGCAAATTATTTCCATGAGGTACTGTGTACTCAGTGGAGGAATGAAAAAGAAAGAGAGAGGGAGATTAACTGCCTATTTACTACATCCAAGAATGTTTTCTCTGCAAATTTATTTTCTCACCTCTTCATGGTTCCTCTTCAGGCAAACAAGCTCCTCCCTGAGGGACTCCACTTGGGCCTCCAGGTCAGACTTGCACAGGGTCAGATTGTCCAGGATTCTGCGCAGGCTGTTGATATCAGCCTCCACCAGCTGGCGCAGGGACACTTCAGTCTCATACCTTTAAGTGCAGGTGATTAAACAAAGGAAGAACACCTATATATTATACAAGTTGAATGGTATTGTCTTGACTTTTTTTAACTTTGTAGTTTTTGTTTGAGGGCCTATTTAATTTCAGTTTGACAAATATCTGCTATCTGCAGGGGCAAATAATCCTACATTTATTAAGCCCCTATTTGCATCAGGTGCTGTGAAAATGCTAAGGACTCAAGGACAAAAATAAGACAGGCCCTGTTCTTAAGGAATTTACATTCTACTGGGAAAATTTTTTCAATTTCTTTCTTTCTATCCCTGTAAAGGGAGGTTAGAAAGGAGACGAAATTAGCCTGTTGATCAAAACACTGAATTAGAAAAAGTAATTGTCTGAGACTCCTCTGGACAACTTTGGTCAAAACTGTTTTGTCATCTGAAAAAAAAAAAAGATAATTTCCTTCCCTATATCTTCATATCCCTGTTTAGTTATTTCTTCTGGATTCAATTTTGTAACTCATTTCTAAAACATGTTTAGTGTCGAGAGTTTAAAAAAAAACACATGATTTTTTTTCCTCCTTCTACCCAAACTCACTTGGTTCGGAAGTCATCAGAAGCCAGCTTGGCATTGTCAATGCCTACCACTAGCCTGGTGTTCTCAGACTTGGTGCACAGGATCTGGAAAGGAGAGAGTCCACATTCAGTATCCCTTAGACTTCAGAACCTCCTGCTACCTTTTAAATAAATGGTTCACTGTCTATAAGCAACTGTATCTTCAGCTGTAAAATATCTCAAGATTTTACCTTCTGCTGAAGCTCCTCAATGGTCTTGAAGTAGGACTGGTAGTCTGGGCACACGTAGGGGATCTGCTGTTGGCACCATTCCCGGATCCTACCTTCCAGCTCAGCATTCTCCAGCTCCAGCTGCTGCACCTTCTCCAGGTAGTTGGCCAGGCGGTCATTCAGGAACTGCATGGTCTCCTTCTCCTTGCCATTGAAGGAGCCTTCACAGAACCAACCACAGGTGCCCACATTGGCAGGGATGTTGCAGGCCCCGGGGAGGGTGCAACTACAGCAGCTGGGAGGCAGGCAGGGCCTGGAGGAGCAGCTGGTGCGGGAGCTAAAGTTGGGCAGGCAGCAGTTGTAAGGCATGATGGTGAGTAGGGTAGTTGGAGGGTTTAGTACAATGATCAAGTTGTGTGAGGTCTACCTGCCTCCCTGGACCTTTTATACCCCAAGAAGTGGGTATGAGCTCATCATATAGCATTGTTTCCTTCCTTCACTTCTGGTCAATTTTTTTCCAAAAATACTCTAGTTAGAGACCTTCAAAGAGTCCTGCCTCATCTCATAAAAATCTCTATTCTGGCTTGTGCTGGGTCAGGACTCTTCATAGATGCTATTGGCTGGAGAAATAAGTGTCTCATTCGTTGTCTTTAAATATACAGGATCATCACAGTCCTAAATGGCAGTCCTCATGACTCAGGCCTGAGGACAGCAAGGGACCCTGACCTCCCAGCCTGGGGTGGAGCTATATGTGGATCAGATGTTCTCTTTATCATTCAAGTTCTACCATTAATTTCTGTGAAAAGCTTGGAAACTGAGCAGTCTTTTGGATACTCTTCTCTTTCTAGTCCTTCTCCAGTGCTAATATTGAGAATAACACCACTAGTGTTGAGAATAACAATAGAAACTAGATAAATGTTAGAAACAAGCATCTCCATAGGCACTTGAGTGAATTATTGACTCTTTGGGATCTTTGGGAAATTGACAATTGAGGAAAATGAATGCTGGTGTTTAGAAAGTGGGGAGTTAGGTCATTTGAAAAGGAATACAAAGAATCAGCCAGATGAACAGGGGATGTACTGAGGTGTAGTTCTGGAAATCAACAGATCCTCACTAAGAAGTCTAAAGAGAATGGACCTGTTCAAAAGGCATTGACTTGAGAATAGATTATAATGTCTAAGAACTAAGGGGCATTGCCCATGAGGATTACCAAAAAGGGTATGTGATTAAATGAGGAGTTGGTTATAGAATCATAGACTTAAAGCTGGAAAGAGCCGTAGAGGTTATCTAGCCCAATCCCCCTCATTTAAGATACATAGTTATCTACAGAGATATAATAGAAATAGACATAGATGTAAACATAGACACAGATGTAGACAGAGACATGGAGGTAGATGTAGATGTTGATGTAGACAGATTTAAATACAGATATAAATATGGATATAGATATAAAGTGATACCCAGAAAAGTTAAGTAATTGTGCCCAAGGTCACTTAGGACAAGAAACAGCAGCTGGGATTTGAACCCATGTCCTCTAACTAAAAATCTAGTTCTCTTTTCACTCCAGATTGCCTTTCACATTTGTCACAGTGGCACTCTTATTTCTTTCCAAGTGGATTATCCAGTACATTAATATTCCCCTATTATTCCTTTTCTTTATAAAAGCATAAATGTTGTATTGGACCTGAATATAGGACATACTACTAAAATGCGATCTCTTTGAAAGAAATATCAAAAAGTTACATGCACTCAAAAATCTTTGCCCAATATGGTATACTTAATCCAATTCAGTTCAATCTAACAAGCAGGTGAAGGTACTGGGGATACAGAAACAAAACTAAAAAACAGTCCCTATCCTCAAGAATCTTACATTCTAGGATATTCCTCTTACATCATATTGTAGCATGCAGTCAACTCTCAATGTCAAGTTCTCAATGGTAATGCCAACAGGGTACTAGTTCCGGTAGATCCTACTAAGATGGAAAGACTATGTTCAAGCCTTGGGAGAGACCATTATTGAAGGATCAGCCTAAATTCAGAGTTCTTTATCAAGTTGTCTTTAGGTCAGTTACAACACCCCTAAAAGACTGTCACTTACATCCAAAGGGATTTCTCTGAGTAAACAGAGAAAGCTCCCAAATCAATAAAATCATAGAACCTCGAAGTATGGTATATCTAGTGGTATAAACAATACACTATATCAAAACTGTCAGTGCAAATAAGGGTAGACATTGATAGAAAGGGCTGCTCTCTGCTCTCTGTGATGACAGAATTATAGGTTCTAGGAACTACATTCACTCTTTCAGACCATTAGGATCAGATTAGTTATTTGACTCTTCCAATAACCTGACAACAGGAACGTCTCTCAAGACAAGAGGCCACAACCTTTCCCCTTATCCCTTACCATACATGGCCTGTCAGTCCCTTCACCATTAGAATGTGCACTCCTTGAAGTCTGAGATGTATCCTCAGCACTTAGCACAATGCCCAGCACATAGTAATTTTAGTAAGTGAGTGTAGTAGTAGTAAGTGAAGTGTAGTAAGTGAAGTAAAAAGAAGTATATATATATGTGTGTGTGTGTGTGTGTGTGTGTATATATGTATTTATATATGTATATATGTACACATATATACATATATAGTATGTGTATGCGTATATACATACATGTATTTTATATATGCACGTATATATATTTACATGCATGTGTATGTGTGTGTGTGTATCCATAAGGGATTTCAAAACATCATTTGTCTTTCCAGCTTTGTATATATAATACATATATACTTCTTCAAGTTCCCCTATTAGAAAACAAAGGGAGCTTCTTTCTTTTTTGTTTGTATTTGTATTCCCAGTGCTTAGCACAATGTAGCACATAGTAAATGCTTAATAAATACCTTACATATCTATATTCATTTATTTCCTTCTTCTTTCATTTTTCCTTTCTTTCATTTTTTCTTTCTTTCCATCTTTCTTTCATCCAAAGACCAGCCTAGCTAAATTCAAAGAAGTTCTTTACCAGGTTGGCTCCTACTCAATTACTTAATAAGGCTTATGTCCAGAGTCCTGCAGAGATTTTTCTTCCCAAGATCTTTTTTCCAGTTGTGCACTTCATTTTATCATTAAACATATGCTGAAAATGAGACAGCCTTTAACTCATCTCTCTGTAAGGATGGAGGCACAACTGGATAATCCCTGGAAAGTTAACATTGCAAAAATTCCTTTCTAGAGACCAAGACTCTAGTGGCCTCCATAGATGTAGTTGGCCTTTTGGTATATATGGAGAAAAGACCTTTACTGTCAAGTATCAAAGAGACAACTTGGTGCAGTACAAAGGTGTCAAAGACCTGAACTGCAACCCATAATACTCCTGTGAGCCCTAAGCAGGTTAAAATGTAATTGGGAAATATTTAAGAAAATAAAAATAAAACATAGATAATGTTAATATGTGGTTGTCTAAGTCAGTACATGGCTCACAAGGATCTCTAGGTACAGTTTAATGATCCCAGTTTCTATTTGAGTTTGACATCACCGGTGTAGTGGATACAGTGCTGGGCCAGTCAGGAAGCCCTGGGGTTCAAATTTCACTTCTGACATTTATCAGCTATGTGGTCCTGGAAAACCCATTTAACTTCAATATGCCTCAGACAATTCACTAGGACTTATCAACTAAGTTGATGGGTTGGGATCTAAGGAAGTGCCTTATAGTGATGAAACCACAGTCTCTAAACAAATTCAGATGTAAAAATAGGAAACAGCAGTGTGTATTTGTTTTCCTCTTAATCAGGTTACCTCTAATAGATTCCCACATTTGGAGTAAATTGAGAAATGTCAAAATGACTTCCAATCTTCCAAATTTTCAAGAAAACACGAATATTTCTGTATGCTATGCACAAACTGGGCATGAAATAATACTAGAGGAGGTTCGTAGGATAGCAGGAAGTTAAAATTAGAAGGAATCTAATAGAATGCCTTTCATCTTAAAGATGGGGAAACAGGCCAGAATAAAGGTTATTTGACCAAGGCTACACAGGGAGCAGAGATGGGATTCAAACCTAGGCTTTCTAACTCCAAGGAAAGCCACCATAGAGCAAGCTCTTTCCCTTGTTGCCCCATCACAAATTTTGGATCTAACTGGACAGTTTCTGTTATTTATTTCAAAATTTCAATCCAAATATCTGATGACTTTGGAATTTTCTTTATGTCCTGCTTTATATAATCTCTAGTAACTCTTTGTAAGCTGCTTGAGGTAGGAATTTTGGTTTTTGTATTAGGTATCCCCAGTGCCTGGCACAGTGCATAGCTCATAGTAAACATTTAATAAATGTTGATGGAATAAGGGGTGAAATGTAAAGAGCGCTGAATTTAGAGTCAGATGGCCTGGGTTTGAATCCACGCTATCCTCCTTATTACCTGTGTGACCTTAAGCAAATCATTTAACTTCTCCGAATCTCCATTTTCTCATCAGTGACATGCAGAAACTTAAATGACCTCTAAGGTCCCTTTCACCTCAAGATCCTATGATTTTGTTCTGAATGTCACAAAAAAACGAAATATCTGGATTTTAATTTTGGTCTTTTCTGGTTAGTAAGATAAACACTACTGGGTGAGACAATCAGCCTGATTCTGAAAGTGATTTTTCTGCTGAGTTTTTTTTAATTCACTTGGCAACCCAATATTATAGAAAGGCAACATTCAAGAAATGATTTTGAGAAAAAGCATAAATTGGTTCTTAAGAGTTCTGATACAAGCTCTGACTATAGTTACAGGCAGGCTACCCCCTCAGTTGACTGAGCAGAGTAAATTAGAGATAATAAACATGACCAATCTCAAGGGCTTGTAGTGGGGAAAAATAATGGAAATAATTAGGAGGCCTTTGGCATAAGAGAATGCTGGCCTACAATACCCTATGCGACTTCCCTTAAGCGCTAAGGCCAGTGGTACATTACAAATGCCTCAGGCCTGAAAAGGCAGGTGTAACCAAAGATTCTATTCTCAATTAAATAATTATATTTCTCTGGCATTCCAAGAATCTGTGCTTCTATAAGCATAAGTCAGTATCAGGATGAAAGGATGTAACCTAACCTGATTCTCTGGCTTTCCTCAATTTTTTCACCAATTCTGACATTTAATTTCATTGGTATGAAAACTTCCTCCACTAATGAAGATCAACAACTTAGCTATAATCTAGAGTCTTAAAGAGTTGTGCTGGACATGAGAATGTCCCTTGCCCCTAATCATAAAGCTAGTGTGTCAGAGACAGGGTTTTTCTGATTCCCAGGATTGGCCTTCCATTCATTAACCATGCTGTCTTCCCCATAGTAGGTGATTAATATGTATTTATTGAATTGAAGTAAAAATAGGGGAAGACCTTAACATAAAAGAAGATGATGAAGGAGGA